TCCTGAATGATCCTGACCTTGTCCAGCCATCCTGTACTAGATCCGTACCCAACAACCGAGCCTCTCCCGGCTCAAACCATCAAACCGGCGACCGACACTGCCTACCATATAAAGCCTCATAAGGAGCCATCTGGATGCTTGACTGGTAGCTGTTGTTGTAGGCAAACTCCGCTAAAGGCAAGAACGGATCCCACGAGCCTCTAAAGTCAATAACACAAGCTCGGAGCATATCCTCCAAAATCTGAATAGTATGCTCAGATTGCCCGTCCATCTGAGGATGAAATGATGTGCTCAACTCTACCCGTGTGCCCAACTCACGCTGAACTGCCCTCCAAAATGTGAGGTAAGCTGCGTACCTCGGTCCAAAATAATAGACATGGGCACCCCATGAAGACGAACAATCTCCCGGATATAGATCTTAGCTAATCTCTCGGATGAATAGGAAACTGCCACCGGAATGAAATGTGCTGACTTGGTCAGCCAATCAACAATAACCCACGCTGCATCGAACTTCCTTTGAGTCCGTGGGAGTCCAACAACAAAGTCCATAGTGATACGCTCCCACTTCCACTCAGGAATCTCAATCTTCTCGAACAAACCACCCGGTCTCTAATGCTTGTATTTTACCTGCTGACAATTCAAACACTGAGCCACATATGCAACAATATCCTTCTTCATCCTCCTCCACCAATAATGTTGCCGCAAATCTTAATACATCTTAGCGGCGCCCGGATGAATAGAGTACCGGGAGCTATGGGCCTCCTCTAAAATCAACTCTCGAAGTCCATCCACATTAGGCACGCAAACTTGACCATGCATCCTCAAAACTCCATCATCTCCAACTGCAACCTGCTTGGCACCTCCGTGTTGCACCATGCCCCTAAGGACACACAAATGAGGATCATCATACTGCTGATCTCAGATATGCTCAAATAATGAGGAAAGAGTGACTGTGCAAGCTAACACACGGCTGGGCTCAGAAACATCCAACCTCACGAACTGATTAGCCAAAGCCTGAACATCGAAAGCTAGCGGCCTCTCACCGACTGGAATATATGCAAGACTGCCCATATTGGCTGACTTTCTACTCAAAGCATCGGCCACCACATTTGCCTTTCCCAGATGATATAAGATGGTGATATCATAGTCTTTCAATATCTCCAACCACCCTTTCTGCCTCAAATTTAGCTCCTTCTACTTGAACAAATATTGTAGACTCTTGTGATCCGTGAACACCTCACATGACACGCCATACAGATAATGCATCCAAATCTTCAATGCGTGAACAATGGTTGCTAACTCCAAATCATGAACTGGATAATTCTTCTCATGAATATTCAACTGTTGCGAAGCATAAGAAAAGACCTTGCCATCCTGCATCAACACCGCACCAAGTCCAATACAAGATGCATCACAATAAACTGTATATGGCTCTAAACCTGTGGGCAAAACCAACACTGGCGCCGTAGTCAAAGCTGTCTTGAGCTTCTGAAAACTAGCCTCACACTCGTCCGACCACCTGAATTAGGCCCCCTTTTGTGTTAACCTGGTCATCGGGGCTACAATAGATGAAAACCCCTCCACAAACCGACGGGAATAGCCTGTCAAACCCAAGAAACTCCGGATCTCTATAGATGATGTGGGTCTAGGCCGGTTCTTAACTACCTCTATCTTCTTTGGATCCACCAGAATACCCTCTACTGAAACCATGTGACCCAAGAATGCAACCAAACTCAGCCAGAACTCACACTTCAAAAACTTAGCATACAACTGACTATCTCTCAAAGTCCAAAGAACAACTCTCAGGTGTTGCTCATGCTCCTCCCGGCTGCGAGAATAGATCAAAATATCATCAATGAAGACTACCAAGAATGAATCCAAGTAGGGCTTGAACACTCGGTTTATCAAATCCATAAAAGCTGCTGGGACATTTGTCAACCCAAATGACATCACCAAGAACTCATAATGCCTGTACCGAGTGTGGAAGGCTATATTAGGGACATCGGATGCCCTAATCCTCAACTGATGGTAGTCAGATCTCAAGTCAATCCTCGAAAATACCTTGGCACCCTGAAGCTGATCAAACAAATCATAAATCCTCGGCAATGGATACTTATTCTTGATCGTAACCTTGTTCAACTGTCGGTAATCTATACACATCCTCATTGATCCGTCATTCTTCTTAACAAACAACACCAGTGCACCCCAAGGCGAGAAATTAGGTTTAATAAAGCCCTTATCAAGCAAGTCCTACAACTGCTCCCTCAATTATTTCAACTCAGGTGGGGCCATACGATACGGTGGAATAGAAATGGGCTGAGTGCCCGGAGCCAAATCAATGCAGAAGTCAATATCCCTGTCGGGTGGCATACCCGGTAGGTCTGAAGGAAATACCTTAGGAAACTCACAAACAACAGGCACAGAATCCATAGAAGGAACCTCGGCACTAGAATCACGAACATATGCCAAATAGGCCAAACACACCTTCTCGACCATACACCGAGCCTTCATATATAAGATAACCCTGCGGGTAGGATGACCAAAAGTCCCCCTCCACTCTAAATAAGGTAAACCCGGCAAGGCTAAGGTCACAGTCTTGGAATGACAGTGCAAGATAGCGTGTTAAGGTGATAACCAGTCCATCCTCAATATGACATCAAAATCAACCATGTCCAGAAGTAACAAATATACTCGAGTCTCAGGATCCCCAATCACAACTATAGAAGAATGATGGACACGATCTACCACAATAGAATCACCCACCGATGTAGACACATATACCGGAGTACCCAAAGAATTACTAGGCATGACTAGATACAGTGCAAATAAGATGACACATAGGAGTATATAGATCCTGCATCAAATAGAACTAAAGCATCTCTACTACAAACCAGAACAACACTTGTGATAACTACATCGGAAGCCTCAGCCTCAGGCCTGGCTGGAAGAGCATAGCATTGGGGTTGGGCCCCACCACTCTGAACTACATCCCTAGGCCGGCCTCCTACTGGCTGGCCTCCACCTCTGGCGGCCTGAACTCCAC